AGGAAACATTACCGACTAAGTCAATACAGCAGGCAAAGGCTGTGAGTTGGGGCTAGGTTTACGACTAGCAAGCAGGTACAGCGCGCGCACGCTCAGAGGCTGTACGCTCCTCAGAGCCCTGCATCCCTCTCTTCTTCATCTCTAGAAACAGAAACAAAAACAACATCGATCTTGAGGGTCGCAGTTTGGTTTGGCATCGTATGGTATGTTGACCTGGGTTCGCACGGTTAGCAGTTCAGAGCCAACAGGATAAAGACAAGGCTTTCTACTCTCATTAACAGTTACAATCTCAGAAACTCAGAGGGACAATTCTGTCCTGTCCTATAGGATTGACTCAGTGGTAGTGGGTTTTCTTTTTGTTTTTCTTAATTCCAGAGTCTCTTGTCATTGTTGTTAGTTGCGATGGAGTTAATTCGTGCTCTTGGCACCCATGTGTGCAGTAAAAATGCCCCAAGGGATTGTCCATGTTCAAGGCTGTGACCTTTCAGAAGCAATTCACGGGGCACCTCAAGGTGGGTTCCAGTTGCCGACTTCCTGGCTCATGACTGAGTGCTTAAGTGTTAGTGCCTCTACTTACCTGATATTTTTATACATTTTTCACTTCCATGCCCTTGGCCACACATGCACAGACATCGTTTGGGCCATTTACTTTCTCTGCAGGCAGAGGGCGAATGGTAAGGGACCCTGGCATTTGCACGCCCTTTGCCCTCCATCAGCGTTTTCAAGCACTTGGCTAAATGTGAAGTTCTCTCAAGCCGTCGATTTCTGTGCTGGGTGAACATATCACCGCCTCGGAAAAGCACCCTTTCAAAGTCTGCCTTTGCCGGCACTGAGCTGGGACTGCCTTCTGAACTTTGCTTACCTACCCACTAATTATACCCTCTCTCAAGTAGCTTGTACTTGTAGTCTTTGCAAAGGCCAAAGATCAGCTTGCAACTATTTTGATTTACTGGTTTATTGATCTCCACCAAGAATTCCTTTATGTGAAACTTTTCACTCCAAAGTCAATTCAGTAGCCTTTCCCCATCCATTTTGAAGGTGTCGGTTATAAGTAGTCTTGCCAATGAGTAATGGATGAGCTAAACTTACTAATAAATTAATTAAAATGTATTTATCAACCCGATGCAGAGCCAAGAATGAAGTTGCTTTCCTATTGATTATGATACTGGTCATTAACTGCTGAGAAAATGCCATTGTAGCAGGCAGAGAACATTGACCAATTCCTTTGGTAATTGTCTGACTCCATCATTAAGATTTTAATATTCTGGAAAGCAATTATTCTTTTAGCCCATGCATTTGCAGTGTGTGGGCCAAGCAGTTGGACATCTTGTGGCAAGAATGAAGTATTCAGGCCAATGTTAGCTTCCATTCTCAGTCGGTGCTACTTTTCAGTAATTTGTGGCCCAGGTATTTATTTATGTTGAGTTTTCTTAGATGTCAGTATACCAGTTCTGCATATGTCTGTGTCAAGGAACTTGAGTGTTATATTGTGGAAACCTTTGGAAAGTTTTTCTCCGTAGGCCTGTTACCATCAATATTTCTTTTCTGAGGCAGCAAATGGGACTAAGAGATGGTAACTTTGGAGGCAATAGCAGTTCTTTGGTAGAGCTACCCATTCCATGCAGGAGACCTGGGCTCAGTTTCTGGCCAGTGCATCTCCTGCCCAGCCACCACTTGTCCTCCAGTGGAGGCTTCAGTGTTGCTATGCTGCTTAACGTTGCAACAGAGCTTTTCAGCAAAGCTACCAACCTAAGATCGATTAGAGACAATGGCGTGATGATCGACTTTTATGGAAATAAGCCTCTGAAAACCTTACGGTCACAGCAGTCCCATCTGTAACTGATTGTGGGGATGGCACAGGAACAAGCAGTGTTTCGTGCTGCTGGGTGGGGGTTGCCATAAGCTGGGGTCACTCGGCAGCTCCTTGCACCCATTGCCTTTGCATGAGATGAGTGAAGGCTGTTGTTTTCTGTTTAAGAGCTAGCTGCTCATCCGCAATGCTGCAGGACAGTGGGTAGCCATCTATACGGTCTTGATCAAAGAGTTCTGCGATCAATATGCCAAGTAAAGTAAAAGGAACTTATTTGCAACCATAGGCAGCTAATTTCTACTCTAAGGCAGAAAATAAAAGGGAACCCAGACCCCAGTGATACCTCTTTCCCTCTGAAGCATCCCTCATTAGACATAGAGATCTATTCGAAATCAAGGAGGATACTCGGCTGCTCCTCTGTATCCCACAATAAGTTTCTCTGGATCTAGACTTTGGGCCATTAGGATAGTTGGGGACTTGTTGGTGCGTGCAGAGGGTGGGGACAATAGTGCTGAGAACACCTAGCATCCTGTGATTTGTAACTGGCCAGTCTTGGTCGCTTACTTTGTGATTTGGATGAAAAGAATCCCAAGTTGACAACACCAGAGACACAGTGTGGGAATTGCACCCCATCTGCACGGGTTGGGGGTGGTGGTGGTGCAGCGGAACAGCAGGGAAGGGGAGCAGCAAGATCCCCAGGGAATGATGAGGGTGGACTTTGGGGACAGCATGGTGCCCCAACAGGCTGGACTGGAAAACACTCTTAAAGGCCAGCGATCCTTGAACTAACTACAAGCTTTTCTTTCTTGGTATGTTTTAGTTTGTTCTTTGTCAGTGGCTTGATGTTGTTGCTGTTTTGTTATATATTGTTGCTTGGTTTTGCTCTGTCTTGTTTTTGTGCATGCTGTTGTATCCGCAGGTCTGTCTTGATAGTACAGGCTGGATGAACAATCTGGAGGAGAAAACAACGGGACTGACAGTTCCGGGGGGACATGGGAGAGAGGGAAGTGAGGGGAAGGGAAGAGGTGTTAACAAACCCAGGGACAAGGGAAGAGCAAGCAATCCAAATTGATGGGGAGGTGGGTGTGGGAGACCTGGTAGGGCATGATCAAGGGGAATGTAACAAAGAGGAAGTGATGAAATCCTGTGGGGACTAAGCATGATAGTGGGACAGGTGAAAAATCAAGGGAAATAGAGGAAAGAGTTAGGAGGCAAAGGGCGTTTATAGAGGTCTAGATAAAGACATACATATGCAAATATATTTATATGAGGATGTGCCTATATTTATAGGTTTAGTATTAAGGTAGCAGAAGGACATTGGGCCTCCACTCAAGTACTTCCTCAATGCAAGAATACTTTCTTCTATTACATTGGCATTCTATGATGCTCACCTTCCGGAGACACTGCTGAAGACAAAGCTGGTGCATAAGCAAATGTGGTGAAGAAAGCTGATGGTGCCCGGCTATCAAAAAGTATAGTGTCTGGGGCCTTAAAGGCTTGAAGGTAATCAAGCAGCCATCAAGCTCAGAAGCAACAAAGCCCACATGGAAGAGGCACACCAGCCTATTTAATCATGAGGTGTCAAAGGGATCAGGTATAAGGCATCATCAGAACAAAAAGTTTTACCATAGTGAATGATGGGGGGAGTGCGGAGTGGAGACCCAAAGCCCATTAGTAGGCCACTGGAGATCCCCTTGCAGAGGGGTCTCAGAGAGGAGATGAGCCAGTCAGGGTGTGATGTAGCAACGATGAGAAATACAACTTTTCTCTAGTTCCTAAGTGTTTCCTCCCTGCTCCCACTATCATGACACGAATTCTACCTTGCAAGTCTGGCTAAACCAGAGGATGTACACTGATACAGATAGGAACTGGAAATACAGGTAATCCAGGGCAGATGATCCCTATATGACCAGTGGTGTGAGTGGTGATACTGGGAGGGTAGAGGGAGAGTGGGTAGGGAAGAGGGAAGTGATTACAAGGAATTATATGTGACCTCCCTGGGGGACGGACAACCGAAAAGTGGGTGAAGAGAGACGTTGGACAGGGCAAGATATGACAAAATAATAATTTTTAAATTATCAAGGGCTCATGAGGGAGAGGGGATCGGCGAAGGAGGGGAAAAATGAGGACCTGATGCCAGGGGGCTTAAGTGGAGAGGAAATGTTTTGAGAATGATGAGGGCAATGAATGTACAAATGCGCTTTACACAATTGATGTATGTATGTATTGTCTTAAGAGTTGTATGAGCCCCTAATAAAATGATTTTAAAAAAATCCCAAGCTGATCCTATAGAGGTCAAAGTATTAGCTCTGCCTTCAGCAGATCCCACAGGACAGAGATCCCTGAACCAATGAAACAGTGAGTTCTGTTTGCTCACCTAACACTGGCAGTTTGAACTCATGCAATGGAGGAAAGGCCTGGGGTTCTGCTTGCATCACAAGCACTGCCAGAAAAACCCTGTGCAGCTGTTCTGCTCTCTAACGCAAGGTCGCCATGGGTTAAGGTAACTTGAGTTTATAAAAATGAGTTTGGTTTTGATAAAGTAAACATGTCTGCAGAGAAGGGATTCGTATCTATTTTCCAGATAAGAAAATCAAGGTTTATCAAAGAAAGGTCATTTGATTTCAAGGTCAGAGTCAGTTTAAGAATAAAGTGAAAAAGCTATTGATTTTGACCCATTGTCTTTTCACGAAATCTTTCCAAAATCTTAGGGAGGTACTGATTCAATCATAGCTCACTTTGTAGCCTCAGAAGGAAGATAAGGATGGTCCACAGGATTAAGCATGAAGTATAGGCTGGTCTCTCTTTGCGTGAAAGAGGCTAGTGGTCAACCAGCAGTGTAATACTCAACGTCAAAGTATATTATAAAAAGGAGAATCAAAGCTGTCTGAAGCCACGCCTGTCTGTAGCTTCAGATGAGTGATGTTATTTTACTGAGCAAGAATCAATAGATGCAAATTCCTGTACTCTCTCCTAGAATGCAAGTGCCTGGGCAACAGAGACCACGCCCTATCTGTCTTGGTCGTCCGAAAGAATAACGGTCAAGAAAGGCAGAATCCCTTCTCCTGCCTATAGGATGAGCAAACATGACAATATTTTACCGTGCTTCTTCCTGGTCCTTCCAGCCTGGAGGACTTCAGTTACAGATCCCCAAGATCTATTCAGATATGTTCCTTCTTTCTTTATTTAGTTGTCTGTTTTGATGCCAAGATAAACTTTGACGACAACGCAGAATTCCGACAAAAGGACATATTTGCCATGGACGACAAGTCCGAGAATGAGCCCATTGAAAATGAAGCTGCTAGATATGATCTGAAATACATAGGACTGGATGGGAACATTGCTTGCTTTGGTAAGGAAGCTTTTATATCAAGCATTTAGAGGAATGCTTCATGGACTTTTACAGCTTTGCGGTAGCCCTGATCTCTGAAATCTCATTTCCCAATAGCTAATAAGCATGTGATGAGTTTTCCTAGCCCAAAAGTTGAGGAAGCATCCCAGAGTTTTACCATCGAGTTCATTTTGGTCAATTGGTCACAAGATTAAAGCAGATGTTCTCAATTTGGGCACACTGACATCTTGGGCTGGATCAGTCTCTGCTTTGTGGATTGTCCTGTGTGCTGTAGGGTGTTAGCAACAGCCTGGGCCTCTGCCAGTGATTAACATCAGCACCCCCTAGGTGTGACAACCAGAAATTTCCCGACAGTGCCAAAGTATAAAGGCAGGTGAAATAGTTCCAATTGAGAATCACGAGTCTCAAGCATCTCAATTAAACCTTTCACAGTAGAAACCAGGGCTTTTGCTATTAAGTCATTCTAAATATGCTAAGACCTATGCTGAGACACGGATTTAAAACAAAATTATTTTCACAGTAGAAGTAGAAGAGGACCTTTATTTGAATCTTTATACCAAATAATCAGATTCTGTGACAATCAAATGATAGAATACAAGGTTTCAAACAGTTCATGGACCAATTTCATGATCTTTTTAATTCCATTTTCCATGAAAATTTTAGGCCCTCTTCATATTTAATCTATTATGCCAGTTTATTAATAAAACAATTGATTTCATCATTCTTATCTAAATTTGTGAAAATGGCTTATTCAGCTGAGATAAGAATGGGTCTGCAGAGGTAATATAATTTCTGTTATTGTCCATAGCTTAGAGTGCAGAGATTTATACTGTTCTGAGTTAATTGCACGAGAGTGTGTTTCTTGTAGAACCAATTCCTTGCCTTAGAAACAGAGATCTTAATGGAATTAAAATTAAAAAGATTTGTAGCTCATTAAAGCAACAGTGTCAGTATATTCAGAACTGGAGAAACATCACCCAGTAGTTTGCTGTTCGATGCAATGGAAGATGGCATCCAATTACAAGGGAAACCAAAAGGCCTTGCTTTGTGTCAGTGCAATCGCTGTGACGCACCAGATCACTCACATCATTCGGACCCAGATAAGCTAATGCACTCTCAATATTTGTAAACATTAAGAAAGGAGAAAGATAGAGAGAAGGATGTGTTTTAGAACACATCAAGTACAGGTTCTTTTGTCGTCTCTATAGGGATATACTAGATTTGAATAGGCAGAAGTATCCAAAGCTACAATGAATGTTTTTCAAATTAATGAAGGTTTGCTTTAATTGATTGTATTTATATTACTTGAAATTCGTCACAGTTCAGAGGCTTTCTTGGGAATGTAAGGTTTAGAATAAGCCATTTTACCTTGAGTTTTTAGTGTCTTCAAAATACTTTCTTTTTTTTTTGCTTTCCAACCTGAGAAAGTGATTTTAGGTAATTAAACATAAGAAGCAAAACAAAGTGCAATGGATCAATGAAACCTGGCCTTTGAGAACAATCGTGATTTCTTGGTTTCTTCGGACAGCTTCTAATATATTGGCACCTATTGTTCCTATTTTTAATAATCAGGATGCTGGTAAAACATTTTATCTTAATATGAAAGAGAAGCAAGATGCAGGAACCCTATTTTTGGTGCTACCATTAGTTCATTTGCTTGCTCAGTTTAGCCAGATGCTGCATACGTATATGATGCATGTCTGTGCGCCATGTAAAAATGTATGGCACTTTACCACATGTGGGCCCCCATGGTTCAATCTTAGAGTGGTGCCAGCTTCAAAGGCGCATAGTTTCAGCCAACAAAAAGTTAAAAGGAACTTCCTTCTTTCCATAAGTTTCTTATTTAAAGAGTAATTTTTAAATGTGATTTGTAGACCCTAGCACCTTCTCATAAACTTTTTATTTCCCTATTGCTATACTAAAGCTCCCTCCTTCAATATTAGCCCATATTGATTGCTTTCTTAAACGTGTCCCTTCTTTCTGTGTCCCAGATTGATTTAACTTCTCAGTGAATCTTTCTACTCATACACAGTTCTTTGTGGTTTATTGTCGGAATGCACCTTTCCAGACTCTCTGTCCTAAACGTCTACAAATGTATTTGGAAGCATTCCAAACAGGACTGGATTCGGGTTGCTCGTGATAAGAGTTCTCTGGGGAGCATGAAATGTTGTTAAGCGTGTCCTATCTTCTGTTCCATTTGCATTTCACAGTGAATGGTGCTGGGCTCGCCATGGCTACCTGTGACATCATTTCCCTTAATGGTGGGAAGCCAGCCAACTTCTTGGATCTTGGTGGTGGAGTAAAAGAAGCTCAAGTCTATCAAGCCTTTAAATTGCTTACAGCTGATCCTAAGGTAATGTTTTGACTCCTCCCGGGCAAGAGCTTCCCTGTTCCTGCAGCATAAGTTACATCCTCTGACGCACACCCCGCCTGTACACCCCTCGGACTGCATGACGACCCCATCCCTCTAAACTGAAAGGTGGAGGGACTGCCTCCAGGATCTGATTTCAGAGGCTGTTCTTAACAAGCTCTGGCAGGTGAGAGGCAGGCACCTAAAAAGGTGGTGCTCCAAACGGTGAAAATGGTCATTAGCATTATATTTTATGTGAGTGATTTACCCTCAACAGTTTAGTCCTATGCTTACTGGACTTAGGTAGACTCAATTTTAGATACCTTCAGCACAGGTGCTAAAGATATAGGATAATTTGGCGGGAAAAAAAAATTATACTATTGCTCCTTTCTCACTGGAAAATGACCCCCACTCTTTAATTTTCACCTTTAAGTAGAACACTCTTGAATTTTCATCTTTAACTATAATGGTTTGAGACATACGCACTCAGTAGAATGTAACTATACATGGTTTTATATTTTTCACTGTTACTCCCTTTGCACACGCAATTCCTCAACTGGAGTAGAACTCTGCAGCGTGGAGATTTTCTCTTCCGATGTGTTATCACCCTTGTAGTAAATGTATAGTAGGTGTTCAACAAATATTTAATCGTTTAGGATCAAGACAAGTATCAAGAGGTAGGCACTTAGTTGTCTGTGATAACAGAGTTTAGTTGATGTTTATTAGATGGAAAAACTAAAATTAAAAAATTATTATTGTTATTATTTGAGACGAAGTTCATGGAGTACACTGGTTTTCCATTCAACAGTTGATACATAATTTGGTTTGTGACACTAATTGTAATTCTTAAGATTTCATGCCACTCTTGCCACTTGCCACTGTTTATCATTTCCACTCATCTCTGTTTCCAGTCCTTTCCTGCCTTCTGAGTTTTATCGCTGGGCAAAGGTTGCCCTTTGATCCCTGATGGTCAGTTGTTCTAGGGAGCACATATTTCCTGGTGTCATTGTCGCCTTATGGATCTGTCTATTGTTTAGTTAGAAGTTGAGCCATGGAGGTGAGTTTGGTTGAAGGCCTGAAGGGTGACTAACGGTCATAGTTTCGGGGCTTCCACCATTCTCTATCAGAGCAGTAAGTCTAAAGTCTAATCTGTTTTATGAGTTTGAGTTTTGTTCCACCTGTTTCTTACCCCATACTGAGCATCTTCTACTGCAATCCCTTTTAGACCGTCAACAGCGTTAGCCGGGCACCATCTACTTTTCTGGTCTCTGGGTCATGAGGCTGGGCTTCATACGGTCCATTAGCTCTTTGGACCAAGTCTTTCCATGTGCCTTTGGTTGTCTTTCCTCTACTTTGGCCCCTATGGGAAAGACTAGAATTTTTGGAATGTCTGACATGTGCGTTCCTTACTCAGCTCTCCCTGTAATCCTGGGCAGGAGACATAAGTCAGAACCGTTTGCCATGAAGCTTTCTTTGAGAATTACCGTCTTAATGTTGCTAGCATAGATAATTAGTTTCTTGATTCTTAACATATCTGATCCATCACTGTGAAAACCATAAATGAAAACAATTCCCAATCATTTAATTTTACTTTTTTAGAATGTGATCTGAATTTAATCTAGAAGCTTCCCATTAATAAGTAAATTAAGACTAGCCTATTTTGGTTCATGTACATTGTTTTGTCTTTTAACAATAGTCTACCTCTCAGCTTTCATTGTGGCATGCATAACATAGTTGGTAATAAAATGTTTTTAATAACTCCTGATTCACAGCATAAGTGAGAATATAATCAGGACCCAAAATATTATGAGGAGTAAGTACTTTAGCCCTCTTTACTCAGCGTAAGGAAATCCAGACTCGTCACAGATAGACCAGTAGACTAGATCCTGATCAAAGGAGAAAAGATTAAAGTTATCAAGGATTTCATTTTGCTTGAATGCTTAATTAATACTCATGGAAGCAGTAGTCAAGAAATCAAACTGTGACTGTATTGGCCAAACCGGCTGCTCGAGACCTCTTTAAAGGGTTGAGGAACACGGATGTCACATTGAGGACTGAGATGCCCCTGACCCAAGCCATGGCCTTTTCAGTTACCTCATGTGCATGTGAAAGTTGGGCAATGAATAAGGAAGACTGAAGAAAAATTGATGCATTTGAATTAATGAGGCATACTGAAAGTACTATTGACTGTCAAAAGAACAGACAAATTCATCTTGGAGGAAGTAGAAGTCTAGCTAGCATGCTTCTTACAAGCCAGGTTGCCTGGACTTCATTTTGTGTGCTTTGGACCTGTTATTTATTAAGAGAGACCAGCCCTCAGAAAAACGTATCTCCCTGGGAAAACAGAAGGTCAACAACAAAGAGGAAGAACTCTTCAAGAGGTGGATTGACCAAGTGGCCGTGACAGTGGACTCAAACATACAACGTGTGACAGGATGACATAGGATTGGGCAGGGTTTTATCCCACTGTCCTCAGGGTTACTGAGTAGGAAATGGCCCGGTGGCACCTAACTACATCAGCAGCTTCAGTTTCCCAAGCCTGTTTGGGAAAAGCAGTGTCCTTGATTCCAAAGTCACGCAACCATGGAGAAAGTGTTTGTCCTCGATTGCTTTGCTTGCAGAACCACCTATTTTCATTGGTTTACTTTGGACTATTTCCAGTAGCTCCATAACCATTTGTCAGTTTACTTGTCCTTTCTTCCTACTATCTTTTAAGGAAAGAATGATTTTATTCCCAAACCAATCGAAATCTATGCACGCTGTGGGCATGAGACACAGCTCGTTCAGTTGCTTGAGCCACCAAGTACCCGCAGGATAGATGACTATAATAAAATCCTCAACTTTCGCATTTACTGGAACGCACTGCTACGAATAATAGAGAGGCAGCAAGGGATTCAATCTACCAGAACAATCATTGGGTTTTCTTTGAAATGTCTTTTCTTAGTGGCTGATCCAGAATTTTAATTTTGTGAAAGTATAGGAGAGAAAAGAAAAATCGCTCATGGAGCCATGTTTTTTTAAACCATTCTCTTCAAAACATTTTTTAACTTTACCCAGTGGAATATTTTCAGATGTTTAGAGTATTTAAGCTCTTTTGAGATTGGCTGTCATCTTGAGTAGATCAAGGTTTGTGGGAGTTACTTTATTTTCCTCTTGCTATATCAGGAAAATGAATGCAGAACTCATCTCACAGTACACATTCGAATCTTGAAATTTCATAGCTGGTTAAAAAGCATAGAAATGTATTTTCAATCCTGGCATTGTTTCACAGATTTTAGAGAACAGAGGCTAAAAAATAGTATAGACAAGTTGATTTGATTTTGCAAGGAAACTGGCCATGGTTCTGGCGGTAATTATTTCAAGTAGAACCCCGTCTAGCTGCCCACAGTCGAGGTTCCCAAGAGCCCAAAGCTAATTATTTCAAAGGTATCGATTTTCGTGTTAGATGTAAGGATTAGTCAGTTGAATATACTGAAACTCAAAATTGCAAAAGGCCTGTTGTTGTTAAAGTTAAATCACATCAACTGATACTAACAACTGCTTGTTTGTCGTATGTACAAGATAATTCCATTGATCAATGATGCCCAGCATCACTGAAGTAAAATATTACAGATTAGCATCTGTTCGCCCTCAGAATGCCAGCCTGTAAAGCTGAAGGTTCATGTTATTTTTCTTTTGCTTGACTTTTCACCCAAATGCTGGTTTTCACTTGCTCATAGTACCGATATATCATGTAACCAGTATACTTCATATTTGCTTCTGGGGGGCTTCAAAAAGCTGGTGGGAAAATGGCATTAAATATTTCAGTTTTTCCCATGAACCTTTTGGAGGCCCCTGGTATATATGAAACAAAGTTCCTTGCCAAACTGCCTGAGAAATCTTTTCAAAATGGCTCAGCCACTAAACTGAATTCACATAAAATGTATCGTTAAGCATTTGATAATTCTCTTATTTTCCATGTGGGCTTGGGATGAGAGAAAGCTTTGTTCTGCTGGCAGTGGGACAGATGTGGTCTCAGCTTGACCATCTCAACCAACAGTGTGCTCAACACTAGAATTCCTGAAGTTATAGGGAGCTAAAATGATATAAAGTAGTAATAAACTACTGCTAGTGATCATCTGGATCTGAGCACATTTAAAGGGAAAACATAACGTGGATTGCTGACCCTGGGTTTTTATTTTCTTAATTATGCTTTGGCTTCCTTTCAAGTTCTCAACTTAGAATATTGAAAGTGTGAACCAAGAGTACAGCCACATCTGGAGCATGTAAAATAGCTCGTGGAGAGGAATAACGGGAAGGGACAACTGTCCTGAGCCACAAGAGTCACCCCAACCCAGTGGACCCCAGGTTAGCCAGTCTCTTAGCTTCCGTGGTTTTGTGGAGGCCTGACTTGGAAAAGTAGATGGTTGGTGTTGATGAGGTCTTCTCATTGGTTTGACTGTACTTCCTGGTTCATATTTACCCTAGCATAAGTTTTTGAAAGCCCTTTTAATATCTAGGAAGAAATGTGCCCCATAAGCAATAAACACTAGTTTTAAGCCAGACTGCCTAGGTTCAAACCGTATCCTCGCCAAGGTGTAGTTCTTTGTGGAGCCTTAGACATATTCTTTAATGTCTGCGTTTTCTTCATTTACGAAATGGTGGCCATTAACGATGCTTTCTACCAGTCAAGTTTGAATTAATCCCGAGTCATGGCAACCCCCGGTGTGAAAAGTAGAATCGCCCATAGGGTTTTCAAGACCTTTTGGAAGAATGCTAGCTTTCACTTGTGAGCTCCTTCTGGGTAAGTTTGAATCCCCAACCCTGTGAGTGGTCATTTGTTTTGTTACATGAATTTAGACACACACACACACACACACACACACACAATAACACACGCTTTTGAGAGACGCAAGTTTCCTTTGAACGTATCTCTAAAAAATCATCTTATTAATAAAAATATAACCTACATATAGAGAAATATGCAAAGGACAAGGGGATAGCTCGGGGAATGCAAAATGAAC